TTGGGCCATGCCGCCTTCCCGGCAGCCCCCGCGCCCCGCCCCGGAAGCGGGCGCGGCCTTGCCATGACGACGCGACGGCCTCTTGCCCTAAACGGCAGGAGCCAGGATGTACCGAAGCTCTCTGCAAAACGCGGTGACTGGTTGCTTTTTAATTTATTTTTATTGTCATACACAGAAAAGTGCTGCCCGAACCCTGTCCTTCACCCCTTACGGAAGGAAGACAGGAGGGGCAAGGAAGGAAGAGTAATGACACCAGAAAAAGAGGAATCTGTACATAAAAAGATTTTTATAAAAGGAGAAAGAAGGTAAGAAAAGTAAATTTTCATTCCTGTATTCAACTAAAAATCCCTTTTCTGGTCTCGGCCTTGGCCTTCTTCATCTGGGTTACAGGTAGAACTGTATTGGTGGATGTTCCAAACCATTCTGGCACCTTCCTCTTACCAGGGGGCTGGGAGCTCTGGAAAAAAGAAAACAAATGTGGAAAAAGGCAAGTAGGTAGAGGCTGACTAATTTACACAGCTCTACTTCCCAAAATTAAGGTCATCAACAGGACATGAACTGTGTGCATTACTAATGGAAGGTTTTGGCTCCCTTAAATGCAACACCTTGTTCAAGTAATTGAGGGACTAAATCAAACTAGGGCAGTGGGAAGAACCAAGGCTGGGAAATGTCTGACCTGACACCGGTACACCCTGGAAGTACTGCACTTCAGGAATTGCCTTTAAATAACAAACCCAAAAAAGCCCAACTTCAATGCTCAAGACCTTAAATAAAAGAAGTACAGCTCCTTGGTGTGACCTGTGAAAAAATACAGCTCCAGACAGGGAATGATGGATGCCCCAAACTGACAGTACAGCAGCAGTACCTACCCCCTCCCCCAATTACAACTTGAGAAAAGAGACTGAAACCCACAGACGCAGCAGTGGGTGCCTGTCACCAACCATGCAAGGCACCTTTTCTTCTCTCCATCTCCTCACAAGGGGCATGAGCTCTGCAGGTTTTTGTCCCCCAAGGAGAGTGTGAAGACACAGTGCTCTCCATGACTGCTAAGTGCATCTCTTGCACTGGGGTGGGAAGAGATGCTATGGCAACACAAAGCCATGAATTCCTGTAAGAGCTTACACACGGAATAACAGCAAGCAGGACTGAGTGCACCTTCAGCACGTTTGCCAAGCTGTGCGGTATGGTCAACATGCTGGAGGGAAGGGATGCCATCCAGAGACCTGGACATGCTTGAGTAGTGCACCCTCCTGAAGTTCAACAAGGCCAAGTGCAAGGTTCTGTACATGGGTTGAGGCAATCCCAAGCACAAATAGAGGCTGGGCCATGAGTGCATTGAGAGCAACCCTGCAGAGGGTATTAGTGGATGGAAAACTATGGGCCAGCAATGTGCACCTGCAGCCCAGAAAGCCAACCATGTCCTGGGCTGCATCAAGAGAAGTGTGGCCAGCAGGTCAAGGGAGGGAATTGTCCCCCTCCACTCTTGTGAGACCCCACCTGCAGTCCTGTGTCCAGCTCTGGGGCCCCCAACATAAGGACACAGACTTGCATTAGTGAGTCCAGAGGAGGCCAAAAAGAAGATCAGGGGGCTGGAGCACCTCACTTATGAGGACAGGCTGAGAGAGTTGGGGTTCACCCTGGAGAAGAGAAGGCTCCAGGTAGAGTGGCCTTCCAGTGCTTAAAAGGGGCTACAGGAAAGATGGGGAGGGACTCCTTATCAGGGAGTGTAGGGATAGGAGAAGGGGTAACAGTTTTAAACTGAAAGAAGGTAGATTTAGATTAGATATTAGGAAGAAATTCTTCCCTGTGAGGGTGGTGAGACACTGGCACAGGTTGCCCAGAGCAGGTGAGGCTGCCCCCTCCCTGGCAGTGTTCAAAGCCAGGTTGGATGGGGCTTTGAGCAACCTGAGCTAGTGGAAAGTGTCCCTGCCCATGGCAGGGAGGGTTGGAACCAGATGTTTTTAAGGTCCCTTCCAACCCAAACCATTCTGTGATTCTATTTTATGATAAGTGGGTTTCTGCTCATCCTTCAGCCACCAGTTTTCAAATAATGGAAGACCAGTGTCTGTTGGATGTTTGTTTCAAGACTGAAGTAGCAAGGTGCCCTTGGGAAACATATCAGGAAGTCTGATCTGTAGTCAGGAAAGAGGCTGCTCCAATGCTTGCATCAAGAAGTGTGTGCACAACACCAGGACTCCCAGCCCAAGGCCAGGTGAAGGATGAAGGGTGCAGAGACCATTACACAGATTGTGCTTTGCTCCTGTGTCACAAAGTGGCTCAACTTGGAATTGATGTTCCGGAGTTCTCTGAAGCTATCACCAGCAATCAAAAAACTAATGTTGTAACATCTTTAGTGCTCCAATAAGATAGCTGTGTTATTTAGTATTTATACCTACCTAATATAAACCAGATAAAGAATGATTTGTCTATATCATGTTTTGCACTTACAACAATATCTGGCTTCAAACTGAAGCAAGCTGTACAGCAAGTCATGCTGGTCAGAGCCACAAGCTCCCTTTAGAAAAACACTGTATGTATGCCCATACAACTTGTGTTTATATAAACATCTGTGCAAATATCCCTGATGTGAACAGCATATAATACCACTCAACCCTATACCTGAAAGAGGAAAGGGAGCCAACTATTCACTTGAAGAGCTGAAAGCATTTGCCACTAGATGGCTGACAAGATGTACTGGGGAAAAAAATTTCTGCAGCAGGCTGATGCTGTGGAGAGGTATATTCAGGCATAGCAAGGGCAATAAAAGCAGCATGTTGCCACTATATCAAGGATATTAAGAGAAGTAGTTGGCTGGCAATCCAGGCCAGGTTTTTGGCACAGTAAAGAACCCAGACAGAAGCTGGGATTCCAGTTCGCTCAAGATCAACACCCAGATCATCAGGTCTGGGCTCTGTTCCTAGCAGAGCTACAGGCAGTCTCACCTTTGGCTGAGAGTCAGCAAACAGTTCCTTCTCATTGGGATTGAGGGCAGGCTGATTCCAGGAGGCCAGCATGACGGGCTTCAGGCGGCCTGCTGCTGCTCTGCTACCTGGCTGGCTGTCATCCACTCTCTGCACATCCTTTCCATGTGACAATAAAGAAGCTGGCTGTTATGTGTATCACAGTATTAAAACTTAGGTCTGCACAAACCATATTCAACACAAAGGCTTCATTTTGGAGGCATTTGGGTTTTTTTTTTTAAATGAGTAACTGACAGACTTTGAACACCACTGCTTAATGATATCACTAGCCATTTCTTAGCCATTTCACCACAATAAAATTTGAGCAAGTGAAGTACATTGGTTCAAATACAAGAGAATTGGAACTCCTACTTATGCATTTTAACTTGTAGTGGAGAAGACTACTTCCTCCATCTCCTTGGCTCTGGGAACTTGGAAATTCTTGCTTCCAACTCCTAAGTGCTGTGTTTTCAAATGTGTTTTTACAGCAAAGGTGTCAGGTAAAAATTGTATAGTAGACACAAAAGATTAACTTCTCACTTCTATATAATGCCTGCTGGTCATAGGTTGGAAGAGCCAAGATGTAATTTTTTCAGATTAACTACACATCTGAGAGCATCACTAATGGCAAGTCTACTGCATGCTTTATTACAGTAAGAACATCTGTTTACCAAAGCTGAAGGCAGCACCTGCAGATGGGTTTTCTCTGCTCCTTCCTTCAACATCGGATTGATCAAATTACCCTGTAAAAGCAGCGTAATATAATCTTGTTAAAATCCAAGAACATTCATTAGCAGATTTAAAAGCTGTTTGCTACAGGGAATTATTAGAACCAAGATACTTTCTGAAGGAGAAGTAAATAAAGACTATCTGGATTAGCTTTTGGATTGCAGTTTGCTCATTTATACAATATTAATTTGATTTCTAATAGCATGTCATTCCTGTTACTAGCTCCAGCAGCTAACAGTAGCAGAAAAAGCGTAATTAGAGCTCACACAATTGGACTGCCAGGAGGTCAACTTCAGGAAAAAGAAGGCTCAGACACAGATGTTGTAGAAACAAAACACCACTCAGGGATGCAAGAAACATTCAGTTTGGCAAAATGGCAAGAATTGAGCCAGAGTTCAAGAAATCAACCCCAAATCCTGTAAGGAACAGTCAAAATTCTAGCACAGGCAGTGGAAAGATTCAGAGTGGAATTTCTTTTTATCATTCCCACCAGGAGCCACTCAGTCAAGGGTGATCTTTTGTACAGGGTGCTGAACGGGGACTTGGGAGACACAGAAACCATCCAAGGGCTCAGAAGACTAGACTGGCCTTCCTCAAACAGCAACAAAGAGCTCCTTATTTCCTGAAATTTCTCCCCAGTGAGTCAGGCTTACAGCATACTTTTCTTGTTATTGTGGCTACACCCAGCAGTTTCAGCAACAGAGGAACCCATGAAAGATTCGGGACACATTTCTGGCAGGCATTGACTCTGTTTTTTTCACATACTCAACTTCCCTTCTATCTTAGAGCTTTCTGCACACTGAGAGAATCACTTTTCCCATATCAGGTTGGTGATCAGATACCAATGCACAGAAACAACACAAGGGCAGAACCTGGACTTTGTGGCTATGCTCTGCCAGCTTACCCAAGGTTTTCATTCTGGGGAAAACTTGGAATTTCATATTTTTCCCTCTGCTGCCCAACTATTGTCAATCTGGGATTTTACAGGGGACCTTTTGCATCCACATCCCGAAGGGCTGAACAACAGGAGGAAGTGTTCATCCCCCCTCTCCAAGGCCACTATGAAGCTGCACTTGTGATGGACCATCATGTGCCTGATCTTCCTTAGCTGCATGTCCAGGATTTACTATGGCAGAGATAAACTGACAGTCCCAGGTCAGAACAGACCAACCTGG